ATATTCCGAATAAAAACATAGTAAATGTCGGCTTTGTCGATTGAATTTTTGAAGTTCAGTGAATACCTACCTCTTAGTGAAAATATCCTTCGGTGTAATCCTTCGCGAGCTCTGGCCGAGTGGTTACCGCGCTTGACTATCGTGCGAAAGCCCAGGGTTCCATTCCTGGGAGGACCGCGTTTTTCTATTTATTCTTTCAATTTATATTTCTTGTAAAGTCGAGAACCCTTTTGCTTGTTTGAGGTCCGAATGTTCTACACGCCGAAACTTCTACGCCGATTGTTCCAAAAGCCCACACGTATACATAAGGGGGCTCCGCGTGCTAGCCGCAGTCAGTCTCGCCCCAGCGTTCGATCCTGCTCTCACGCCGACTTCGACGCCCGCGAAGCTCTGTAGTTATCTTCTGTTTCCTTCTTGGTTTTGGGCACAAGTTTGTCCCAATAAACGTTTCAGCTTCCTGTCATTCTTTGTTTCGTCACCTCATCATTCGTGACAATATTACATTCGTCTATACCAGGGCCGGCGTTAGGCATGGGCGAGCGGGGCGGGCGCTCCGGGCCCCGCGCTTACGACAGGGCCCCGCAAGTGACAGAGGGGCCCCGCGGTCACTCGCCGGTTGAACTTTTTGTAAAATTTCAACATCGCCACTACAGATAACTTTCATTGCTGAATTTTCCAAAGGAAAAAAAAATAGTTAGCTGACCGACGGGCCCTTCGCCAATTTGCGGATTGCTCCACCCGGACAGAAAAACTCCTGTGTTACAAAACTAACCTCTCCTCGTGGAGTTTTCCAAAGGAAAAAATAGCTGGCCGACGGGCGCGGGGCCCTTCGCCAATTTGCAGACTGTTCCACCCGGACAGAAAAATGCCTGTGTTTCCACAATGCCACCCGGACTGTTCCACTATGGACAGAAAAATGCCACAGCTATCCCACCGCTGCCACCATGTCGCGGTTGGGCAGTGAACAGAAAAGAGACCAGCCTGTGTGAGTGTCAGAACCCATCTGTCGGGCGAGCCCGCGTTTATTCATCTCTCAAACACGCCCCGTCTCCCGTGCGGTGGCGCCCTCTCTCGGCCGCTCGCCTAACCCTCCGACAGTCTTCGTGCCGAACGCAGCCCCGTCAGCCGCAGAACTCGTCCGGTCCGACAATCGGCGCCGAATCCCTTTCGACGGCTATTCCAGGCGTCTTCGTGCCGAACGCAGCCCCACCAGCCCCAGAACTCGTCCCTTGATTCTGCCCGTCTCGTTAATGTGCCCGTCTCGTTTTTCTTCATGTTTAGTATAAGCGAAGTTATTTTTAAATTTCAGATTTTGCTTTTTAAACTTTTGTTGATATTTTCTTTTTTTTTTTTTACTTTCTTGCCCTGGGCCCCGCGTTATGTAGCGCCGGCCCTGGTCTATACTGTCCTGATGTTTGCGTTACTGAAGAGTCGGTTACGATGTGTTATGAAAAGTTTAAATTTATTTGTAGAATGGGGGACATATGTGGTGAAAGTAGAGGTTTAGTTCCTACCATTTTTAAATTGTTAAATATTCTGTAACTTTTTCTTCTTCTTTTTATAATTTCTGACTGGAGAAGTGTCCGGCAATGAATTATACCTTCTTTCTCCATTTTATTGCTTTTATGTATCGAAAAACAAAAACAAAACCAAGTCGTGAGTCAGTGCCGTGTTTGCGTCTTTGTCTACCTGTCCTTGTGTCTCTTTTTGCGCTGTTTTCTCATGTTAACAATATGCACCGACTAGCCCAACTTCAAACTCGATTAAGTTTATGGCGATTGCTGTGAAACGTTGAGCGAACTTCATCATCGCTTTCTCAGAGAATTTCCTGTTGGTAATGGAGCCGACTTTCGTCTGAAAAGATAAGAAACTATAGCGAGAGATACGGTGATCTAATATGTACCTAATATTCTTGAACTAGACGCAAGATGAGTTACAAGAAATGTTAAAAGTTCGCGTTTTTTTTTTCTCTTGTCGTTGACTTTCACGAAACGGAAAAAGGAAATCAACCGGAAGGGGAAAAAAAAGATGATCGCTTTTTAATTGAGGTTGGAACAGATTTATCGACGCGAGCGTATCTCTCCCCAGAAGTCTGCCGTTGACCGTGCCGGCTCATCGAAAGGCACGTTTGAGGCATTTTTGTTTTCTAAGCTTTGAATTTTAATCGGAGGAAATCGATGGGAGCATTAGAGATAAAGTGGCAGCTTTTTACTAATACTGAACGGTCAGGTTGTTGCACCCGTTACAGTACGAAAACATTTATCTGTACACGAAAATATTTGAACGGTGATTTTTTTTTTACATCGGTTATTTAATGGCCCGCACACAGCTTACATAACCGAGATAGTGGGTATTTTTTTTAATCAGAGATGTATCTCATGGCATACGGCTCAGAGTGGTGCATTGCACAGATAGAATTTTAGAAGCTAGCGAAATTGGAGTGCCTACGCGCATTTACTATCATAAAAGAGATGCAATGTCAGATCACATTCGTCACGCAAGCTAAAGCTACAAACAATTCGACATTGTATGTTTCCCTTGCTGCTGCCTGCCTCGGAAAATGACACACCGCGTTGGTTCAACAACGCGTAGTCATTTACTCACATTTATAACCGGCGCCGCGACCGAGAAATCCCCGCGCATACTTCTGCGCCGGCCTTTTATCGGCGGCGGAGCGCCGCCTAGCGTGTCCGATAGCGCTTCGCCGCCTCGCGGTAGAAATCCCGAGTTACAATTTAACATGTGGGCAACCAGGTCGAACGCCATAGATTACTCGTCTGCCCGCAAAGTTAAAAAAAAAAGTCAGAACAAATAATAATTGCAGCCTTAATAAATAAAGTACACGAACAAAAAAGAAAACAAGTCATCCGAGAAACAGGTCTTATTCATGAGGGAAAACAAATAGAAACAAAAGGGAGAAGAGCAAAAGTGGTGTCACCTTGAACGGTTTTTTGTTTTCTTTTTATCTGCACTTTCAAATTGCTCCAACTCGAAAACACAACAGTCAGCGCACCTTCTAGCATCCGGAAACCGAGGCAAATGCTCACAAATGCATAAAACACAAATGCAGGAGAGGTGTATTTTGAGACCAAGAAACGTATAGGACAGTACAAATATCGACCGACGGTTCAAAGGAACTATCGTGGGCTGCCGAGTGGGACGGAACCTTGCCCACGAAGCTCACAAACCTAAACCACTAAACATTAAAAAAAAAAAAAAAAAAAAAAAAAAAAAAAAAAAAAAAAACGACAGAAAGGTTAGGTTCGTTTAAGACAACAAAACACCCAGCTCGATAAAAAACAATAACAACATGACAAACAAACAAACAAACAAACAAACAAAAAAAAACGAAAAAAAGTAAGCAGTGCAAAACGCCACAGGGAAACCCTAAAAAATCCAGCAAACAAAAAACACGCCATAGAATAGACAAAGTTTCTCCACCTTCGCCCCAATATATCCGCCTATCCACTAACAGCAGCCAGCGCGTGGAGAAACAGCAAGCACAGACCATTGATACGTTAAATAGAGGAAGAGAAAGAGGGAACGAAGGAAAGATAGACGAACCGGGAAGGGAAAGAGAGGCAACTATAGATCCAGGGCACACACCTTTCCTTCCTGAAGAACTCTTTCTAGTGTGAAGTATAGATCCACACACGCACACTCAAAATAAAAGAATCCAAAGCCCGAGCCAAAAGCGAAGGCCTATGTCCGGAGGCATGCGTCGGAGCATAGCATGCAAGAAGGCAGGCAGCAACATCTATCGGTTGGATTATTCAGGGCCCAGGCCATAAGCCATCTCTCGCCGGGCTCAATTCACGCGCTCGCCCGGAGGCTCCGAGATCCTCTTTCTTCCTCAAGGTGAGGGAATTCTGAAGGGCCCTTGGGACGGAGACCAGTTGCTGCTGGAAATATCGCCGCACGGGAAGAGCTTGCGGGAGGCGCGGTAGTCCCTACTCGTTTTCGTAAAAGCACGCTCAACGTCTCGGCGTTTCCGACGTGAGAACTAGGCAGAGTTTTAGAGTTAGCAAGTTGACGCTATTGTTAATATTGCAAGTAACTATAGCGTGACGAGGTCTTTGTTTTGTTGTAGCTGTTTTGACGAGACTTGTTTTAAAGAACGCTGCTGACATCCTTATCGAGAAGTGTTCCCTTTTCATTACCTTAGAAAATAGGCCTCCTTGTGAAGTTCTTTTTCTATGTGCGTAAAAAGACAAACAAAACAAGAAAAGATGAGAGAGGTACGAAGTGAAAGAGAGAAATAAAGAAAGAGAGAGAAAAACATCAAGCCAGGTTGAAATAATTTACCTGAAGAAAAGTAAAGAATGTGTTTGCATTAGTTTACCGCGCGCGATCAGTTTAAAATGTGCCCCCGGAGGAGCATAAATGATGCGCTATTTATGCGTCTGTATTTGGGTGTGTTTTTTTATCTGTGTGTGTGTGAGTTTGTGTGATGGCTGCTGAATGGCCAATTTGAAAAGCCGCATTGGCGTTTGGTGGGCAATGCTTTTCAATGGGTGCAATTTTCGCAAATAGGATAGTACGTCTGTTTATCACTCTTTGTCTGTTTAGCTCGAACGCTGCAAGCCCATGTATTCGTGAGACTTCTTCAGCTTTTGGTTTAAAGCTAGAAGTCGGATATTAAAGCTTTGTTGAGTCTCCTAGCTCACACTTAAATATTTCAATGTATCCTTGCGTTCTTTAGTATTGTATTCTTAATTTTCTTTCTCTCTTTGCCTTTACCCTTTTATTGTACGCCTCTTTTGTTTGGCAGTGTGGTACGTAATTGAAGGAGTCTATTTAGGAAAAACAATATTAGTCCTAATGTATTAACTTTCAGATTAAAAACAAAACAAAAACAGTACTGCCTATGAAGTAAACCAGGGACTCTCCACCAAATCCACGATGTAAAGATTATAATTGTTGAAATCTTCATGTTAAAATGCGTTCTCTTTGCCTAATCACGGGAGAATTGTAGATCATATTACTTATTATAACTTTACCAGGAAGATTTGTACAGGGTTATGCACTCTGACAAGAGGAAGTCTTCTGGAAATTACGTTTCATGTTTTCTTTAGTGTGAGCGTTCTGTTAACAAATATAAGTTAGAAACTAAAATTAGCATAAGCAAATTAATCGCTAATATACAAGGAAAAAGCAGCGAGCACGCACATATATTTCGATATTGCACAAAACAGGAACTCATATCGATAATAATCAGAATCAGTTCGACATTTATCAGAGAGAAAAATCAGCGCAGAAGAAAACAGAATATATATCAAAATATAAAAGTAGATGAGCAAACTATTGAAATGCGCGCATTGGAGGTTTATTTTGCCTCATCGTCAAATAAATGTAGACATAAAAAATGCACAATCCCCGAAATGCAACACTGTACTATTATAAATAGAGAAAGAAAATTTTCAAAAATAATTAATTATGGATAAAATGAGAAACAAAGTGTAGGCTATGCAAAAAGTTAAATTAAAAATACCTTCGATCTTTCGATCGAGTTTTATAGGTTCGATTTTTGAAGCAGAGAAATAAGTGCTTACAAGGGTACAAACCTTTTCCATGTTCACATTTCAGGGTCATAATATATGCCTCCGCTGAGGCCTCCCCCTCCCCTCCTTCCCGAACAGACATATTTACATTGAATATGCACGTTCAGGCGTTTATTTTCGAAAGCAGCTTAAAATACTAACCTGTATAATAAATATTGTTATATTTGTCTTTGATGAAGTATTGCATGACGAAGAATGAGTCACGAAAAAATTGCGCAATATGGTGAGGTTTGAGAATTTTAACTGTCTTGAAGGTTTTCTTTTGTAATCCTAAGTTGCTGGTTGGCTAAATGTCTATTTTTTAAGATTCCTGTATGTTAATGCTCTATAGAAGCGCTTTTTAAATCTACAGTGTAAAAATTTGAGTGAAATGTGAAAACTGATTTGTATTTATTGGTGCCTCAAGTCAATATCGAGGATTTGGTGAAACTTCCTGTATTAAACATTTTTATTCAATAATTCTCTGCGTGCCTAAAGTTCTAACCAAATCTGTTGGTCCGCCGCCTCAGTGCATTCGAAATCAGAAACAACCAAGTTCGCCTGATTGTAACGCTTCATTCATTGTCATCTCAGTGTTTCAGCCTTTTCAGCCTTGACAGCCTTTTTCACACCATAAAAATATGATGCGATTGAACTCCCAAGCAGCACGTTGTGAATGGGCCATCGCTGGCAAGTGTACTATGGCCAACCAGATTTTCGATGGCCCATGCTTGGCCAAGGTGCTCGGCAATAGAAGTGTTTTCGTCCTCGTCTGGTGACTTGCCATTCACTTTATGCCAGTCGCTGGCCATTCACTTTAGGCCAGTGACTGGCCATTTACCTTTGTCCAGTGGCTGGCCATTCACTTTAGGCCAGAGATCGGCCATTAACCTTTGGCCAGTGACTGGCCATTCACATTTGGCCAGTTACTAGCCATTCACTTTAGGCCAGTGACTTGCCATTCACCTCTGGCCAGTCACTTTCGGCCAGCCACTGACCATTCACGTTTGGCCAGCCACTGGCCATTCACGTTTGGCCAGCCACTGGCCATTGACTTCCGGCCAGTCACTGGCCGAAAGTGGCTGTAGTTATACACTTAATTCATAATTTATCATAGACTGCCTCAGTGTTCCTCAGAAGACTGTCAAGAGTTTCGGGAGGTCAAGTTTTAGAACTCAACCCCAGAAACTCTTACATAGTAATGACACGCGAAGCTGCTGCAAGGCTGCTCAATATTTATTGGACTTTTTGAGTACTAAGTCTTACGACGCTGGTTGCGACCACCATTCCAGTCGTCGTAGGTTCAGGGATGGTATGTTGTCCCACCATTAAGATCCCCCGGTAGTGAAGCAGTAAAAAAAAAAAAAAAAGATATAACTTTAGGTGAAGGAACAGTGCAACAATAGAGATTTTTAGTAGATCGTTCCGATACCTCCGATAGCCCCGATAACGATACCATGGATGCGCAAGGGAGGCGGTGGCGGAGTATCGGGTGTACTTTATCGGAGTCATGGGAGCGATCTACTAAAACTCTCTACTGTTCAGTTACCATATTTTTCACTTTACACAAGCTTAGTGGCACTAATGGGAAAGAGAAGTCTTGAGTACACAGTAAAGGTTTTTACACACTTAAGGGTGTAAATCAGTTTGTTCCTGGGCTAACACCCTAATTATGGCGTTCAGGCAAGCACCCTTCACAAAGGGTGCTTGCTAACACCCTTGGTGAAGGGTGCAAATGGGCACCTGCTGGGGTGGCCCAGTGGATGCTGGGCCACCCCAGCCAATCTGGCGCCGGGAAAGTATCATGCAACGTTTTGGTTATGTGGAGTTCAAGATCACATGACGCTCTCTCGACGCTGGATTGGCTGGTAGCGTCCGCCGCACTCGGACGAAGGGTGAAATGAAGTATAGACCCCAGTGAACATTTCATTGGAATGTGCCCAATACACACATCAGAACTTGTAAATTGTACAAAAATCATATATGGTATTGCATATTCTTATACTATTATTATATGATTTACAGCTTATCATGTTTACTGAACACATTTACACTTTTTTCACTTAGAGGGATTGCCACATCACCACATACGAGGCACGTGATAAAGAAATAATGAGTCACACTAAACACAACTCACTTCATGAAGAAGTAATACAAAAGAGCCCCTTGCAAGCCACATCATAACCCCGTGGGCACTTGGGAAGTGTTACGGCACCCCCCTTTCTCGAACTCTAAGTGAGCAGGCAGTGGCCCCAAGCATCGCACTGCACGGCTGAACCAGTGTGAACATCATGGTCTGCCATAAACGAAGCATGTAAAGCTTTCCTGTTTGGAGATCAAGTGACATGTTTGGTTTGTCTCAGAGGATTGCAGGCAACACGCTTCGCTTATCACTTGTCTCCTACGCGCATCTGTTTACTAAGTGGAAGCAGGGTAGAGGGGAGTGGTTTAGCCCTTGACTGAACCACAGCAGTATGTCATTAGGTGAAGCTTATTATGACATCAATTAGAATGTGTTAAATTGAACATTTATTGAACCTTGAGAAATGGGAAATACAATGTATGCCATTCCATTAAATAAAGAATGCTATCTGCAAACATGTAATGAAAAATATTACAGAATGAACTTGCACTCTACGGCAAACGCTTCAGTAGAAGACGCTATCCTCTTGCTCACGTACAAAGAAAATTATAAAGTTCTGGAAGACGACTATGGATAAGGAACTCGTACAGCTAAATTCTAAGCACCTCGTCTACAGGAGATCAGCATTAGAGTCTACTTCGCTTGGTGCAGCTGGGACCTGCAATAAATTCAATACCGCTTGCCATATCCCACAAAGTAACAAAGAAAAGCCAGTAATACATAAGTCTACCGCACGACATGTCCCAAGGACCGCTAGAAATTCTCGCTCGACTCATAAAACACTTCATGCGACAAAACCCTGCATTAAGGACCGATTGACCTTTGACAGAAAATAAGGATCTGTATTCAGCTGTGTCAAAACACGTGATCTAATGTAATAATTGTGCGGCCTTAAAGGGATGCTGAAGCGATATTTGAAATCTCATAAATATTGCCCGAACAGGCTTCACGGGATGGTACTGTACCTAAAAACGATATTCAATCAGACGGATGGTGCCCGGATTATTGTATTTCTTTGAATTATGAGCGAATCCTTGGCCGGAAGCCGCCGGCGCGAGCCGGTCCTTCTGAGAGCAGGCGTAGCGGAACTGACGTGCGCATTCTCCGCGTCCCCAGCGCCCCTGGTGACTCCACGCATTCTCCTTGTTGGTGCTCGCTTTGGTTTTTCGCTCGGCGGCTGGTCTCAGAGCGACTGGTACTGGTGTTTCGGAAGTCATGCCGCGGAACTGTGCCGCACAGGGCTGTTCAAACAGCGTGTGGTACAGCGGAAGGCCTATGCATACATTTCCATCCGATCCCACACTGCGGAAACTATGGATTCGCGTCGCCCGCCCCTCCCAACCAACGTGGGTGCCCGCCAAAGGCGACTGTCTATGTACGGACCACTTCGCAGAGGAGGACTACGTGAGGAGCCCAGCAGTTCTGCGAAGTCTTGGGCTGCCGGTGAAGCATGTTTTTCTGAAACCCGGCGTGGTGCCGTCGTTGTTCACGCGGAAGCGCAAGCAAGCGCAACTGAGCGGCGTCGAGGAGAAACGGCGACGCGAAGAGGTGGGTGTTCTCGCAGCGACTGAGATATTTTGCTTGTACTAGCGTCCAGTGCGTCCAGTGTCCACCGAGTCAGTGGCGTGTTTCGTGTGTTTCGCGCCTTATTCGTGATTCTGACTATGAGGTGTGTCAAAAATTTTCTTGGGGCAGGGAAGTGTAATCATCTGTGTACTTTTCCCAGGGGGATGTTGAGCTAAACCTGGGAGAGTGTTGGAAAGGGAATATATAAATTACTGGATATAACTGATTACAGAGCCGGGGGCAGTCACCTTGTATTACTTTAGCTCTCGGTGTTTGTAGTGTTCCAGATTGAATAATGTTTACTTTTATGATTTCTAGGTAATTGACGAACTGCTCAAAGAACCGCCACAAGCCACGGTCACTGAGACAACTGAAGTGGTGCTCAATGCATCAACCTCTTTTGCTGCCTACACTGAGCAAAGCCCCAAGGCTCAACATGATCCAATAAAGGAAACGAGTACTGGGACAGAAGAGCCTTGTTTGAGCTTGTGTATGTATGCATTGAAACTTCACTTGTCTTCCACCTCCTTGTATTGTGTAGTAGTCCTGCCGACTGAATCTGTGAAAACTTGTTTTATTCTGATATAGTGCATTCTCCTTTATTTGCTGTGAACAGCTTCCTGCACCAAAAATGCTGACCAAGCTCCTCCTCGTCTTCGGAGTGTGATTACGCAGACATCTGGCCTCCACAAAAACGAGTGTATGTATACCCACAAAGAGCAATTCTAGCAAGAGGCAATGCTAAACCGATGATGTTGTGAGCTGCTATATCCATGACGTGAAAGCATACCTCTGACACTGCCATCAGCAACTATTATTTCAAAAACCCACCTGAAAGTCATGCAAAAAAAAAAAATAAGTGCCAGCTAAGTGCATTTAGTGTACCTAAGGAAGAAACCAGCAGCCAACTGAAATACAAGTCCGAACAAAGCTATCGGCCGCGCCAGTTGTTTGTGTTTCTATTCTATAAAATCTACCTCTGCCGGCTCCAGTTATAGCTATACTTCGTTTCAGCTTCCGTCCGGGCGCAGCCAAAGCTACGTGTGACCGGAGCCAATCACACGCCGGCAATCGGTCACGCGATCTTGCCTGCACTTTTGTATCACTCCGCTGCGCCGCTGGTTGTCCGCGCCGCCCGCGTTCGTCGAGTATTTCGTTTGCTACGGGTGTATCAACGGTATTGTCTGCTGCAGGTTTAAAAGGAGTCCTTTCACGTTCTGAAATTTAATCACAGGGAATGTCAGTACGTAGTCTTGCCGCTGCCGTCTGTGTCCGAGCTTTCCACCTGTTTGGCATTTCGGCATAGTTTCGAGATGTAAGTACACATTGCCAGGTGCCCGACGACCGGGCCGTTGATGTTTCCTTGTAATGTCTGGATATACGAGGGCTCGAGGCGTAGTCCTTTTCACTATCTTCTCGGCGTTCAATGTGGTCGGTAGGTAAAGGGGTGTCCTGATTTCGCCGCGTATCAGTGAATTGTAGTGGCCCGGACGCTTTTC